ATTATGTTTTATATATTTTCTAGTTTTTTTTATATTTATTTATATTTTGTTACTTTTTAAAAATATTTACAAATTAATAAATGCTTAAATATATTAATATATATATTTTTATAAATTTATTATTTATAAAAATTGTATTAATATTTTTTTTTCAAAATCTCGGAATATCGTTCATTGCTTTTAGTTTATCTTCTTCATTAACTGCAATATATGTTTTAAAAATTTTATATGTATAATAAACTCCAGGGACAGAGCAAAGTCCTCCTATTATCCAAAAAGAACATGCTTTACTAAAATTTTAATGCCTATTATCAAAAGTATATACACATGCTAAAATAATCAATATAACTCCTCCTAAGCATAATATAAATGATACATATTTTAAACATTTAGGAATATTTATATCAGTTTTTATAAATTATGATTCTTCACATTTAAAAATTTAATCTTCAATAATTTTATTTTATTATTCATTATAAGTATTAAAATAGAATTATAGATTTACAGTATTACTTTCTTACTATTATTAACTTTTATATTATAAATGCTATTAATTATTAAACATTTTATTTTATTTTTTTATTAAAAATATTTAAAAATAATTTATTTAATTTTAAAATATAATTAATAATTAAAAAAATATAATTTTAAATTATCATTTATAAAAAAAAAAAAAAAAAATTATTATATAAACATATTTAATTTTATTTAATAAAAAATAAAATTAATAAAAAAAAAAATAAAAAAATTAAATCAAATAAAATATTAAAGTATAAATAATTTAATGATAAGAAAATTATTAATAAATAAAAAAAATAAAAAATTAATAAAAAATATTAGAAATAAAAAAAAAAAAAAATTATAAATATATAAAAAAATATGGTAATTAATATTAATTTAAAAAAAAATATATTTTCATTTATAAATAAAATAATATAATAATTTATATAAATATATATATATGTATTTATATATATATATATATATATATGTATTTATATATATTATGTTTATATTTTTAATTATTTTTCCATTCATATATATATGTATTTTCTAAAAATTACTTTATATTCCTTTTTTAATATTTTTTATATACTAAAAATTAATAAATAAATTTAATATTTTAATGTATATACTATTAATTATTTTCTTTATTTTAATTAAAACATATGAATTATACAATTATTTTTTATGAATTTTTTTTTTTTTTATATCTGATTATAGTATCTAATATTTAGATAAATATCTTTTTTTTTATATTTGATTTTAAATATCAACAAAGATTTATTATAATACAAGAATAATTTATTTTTACATGTTTTAAAATTTTTATGTTATATATTAAACTTTTATCACCTATTTTTTAAAACACGACTTTATTTTATCTATTTTACAGTTCTTTTTTTTTTGTGTTACCATATAAATATTTAAAAAATATTTTTGTTTATTACGAATTTTATTGGGTCAGTCACAGTATATTTTTCTTTATTAATTTCTAGGTGTCAAAGAAACTACTTCTGTATAATAATTTTAAGTAATATTTATTAAAACAAAAAAATTTGAATTTGTAAAAGTGTTAGTAATTAAATATTATTTGGAGAAGGGTTGAATTTCAAATTTGATTTAGGGTTAATATTGAAATCAATGTTTATTTGTATATTATTTTTAATTTTTAAATATATATTCATATCAAAAAAAATTATTTTTAAAAGTTAAATATATTAGAATTGTCAATATTATTATGAGAATTATTTAAAAAGTAAAACTTATTAAATTACTTAAAAAAGAATAGAAATTCAACAATCAATTTTATAAGTAACAAAGCTAGTATAAAACTAATTAACTTTTTTTTTATAGAAATTTATACTTATATATGTGAATATTAATTTTGAATATTTTGTATTTAATTATTATAAATTATCTATATCTTTAAAATAAGATATAAATAAAATATTTTTTTAAAAATCATACGCCTGTTTTTAAATATTTAAATATTATGTTTAAAAAAATATTGTTTATTCAGTGTACGTTATAATATTTTTAACTTAAGCATAAATAAAATAATTTAAAATAAAAATATAATAATTTATTCAAACCCATCTCAAAATTATAAAATAATTTAATTTTTTTGTTACATTAATTAATTATATATTAAAAAATAAATTTTTAATTTAAGCAATTAATATTTAACTATTTTTATTTATAATATAAATAAATTTAAAAAAAAAAATTAAAAATAATGACACTTTATTAATAATAAATTAAAAAAAAGAATGGACCTGATAAAGATTCTATTATATTTTCTTCAGAAGATTCATTTAATAGCGACTATTCATTTAACTCTTCAGTTTTAAATGATAACAACAATGGTGATTAAAATAATAAAATTATATATTTTTTTTATCTAAAAATAATAGACTACAAAAATACATTCTTTCATTTAAAGGAATAGATGAATTAACTATTTTAATAAACTCCAGAACTTTAAGATAATTTAAAATTTGATTAAATGTATGGTAAAGAAAATGAATAAGAAGAAAGTTAAATTTAATAATCATAAAAGCCAATATATTAGAATTAAGAAACAGAAGAAAAAAAACAAAAAGAGAAAGAATTTAAACAAAAATCTAAGTTATGGTAAACTTTAAGTAATAATATAATAAGAAATAGCCATTATTAATCAAAAATACCTTCTTTGGAAGCATTAAATCATAGGTAAAAATATTTTAAAATATAAATAAAAAAAAATAGGTTAAACATATTTAAATAAAATATAGAAAAAATAGATTACTTAGAATTTTTAACTAAAGAAAATAAATAATAAACATAAAAGGATGAAAATATAAACGAAAATAACATAAATAGAAACAACATTTAAACATAAAACAATAATGTTATCAATAGCAATTATTTGGCAAAAAATAATGATTCTGAGAATAGTTAAACAGAAGAACAATTCGATTTAAACGGAGAAATAAAATATTATTCATATAAAATGAAAATTGAATAATAACAAAGAGAATTAAGATAAAAGTAACTCGAAATCTCATTAAAGAAAAAAAGATTATAATCAGAAAAAAGAAAAAATATTTTAAGCTTTGATAATTCAAAAGAAATTATTTAGTTATAAGATAAGATAATTCAATTGAATCAGAAGAATAGCTTAAAAAGTCCTTCAAATAATCTTCCAAAAAATAGACAATCTCTTTCTTAGTAGCCTATGTCTGAAAATATTTAAAATATTCAATAAATTAATTCTTTAAATTAATAATAATTTTTTTAAAGAAAATCTTACTAAATCAAATCTAATGATTTCTTATAAAAAATAAATAAAGAAATCGAAAATTAAAATAATTCAAAAACAGAAGATCAGTTTAAGACTAATATTGGAAAAGCCCTTTTTTAAGCACTTTAGTAAAGTAAAGGAGATAAAGAAATGTTTAGAAAAATTGCTTATAATACTCTGAAAGAATATAACAGAAGTAAATAGAATTTATTCAAAAACAAAAAATTTCCTCCTCAAATTCCAAAGTTTATTTAAGAGGATAATAAATTTCTAAATTAGTTTTTACCTGATTTTAATAACCCTTTATTTGAAAGAAATAAAGGAGATCCTTTTGAATTTGTAAAAGAATATCAGCCCGATATATGTAGTTAAGAATATGAATAATTATAAATTATCGAACATATTTCTAAAGGAAAATTTATTAATTTATGGAAAGATAATTTTAATGAATGATTTATTTTTCATTTTTTAATTTATATTTTATTTTTATTTATTTGATAAAATAAAAAATTTAAAATAAATAATGCTTTAAACATTTAACATTAAATAAATTTTATTTTTTATTTTAGTCTTTTTATTTTATTTTAGTTTTTTTATTTTATTTTATTTTTATTTTATTTTATTTTTATTTTATTTATTTTATTTTATTTTAGTTTAATTTTATTTTAAGATTTTATTTCAATCATTGTTATTAAAAATTAAATTTTAAAAGTTTATCAGCAACAAACTTATTTAAAAATAATAATAAATCATATTAAATTAAATATTGAAAAATAATTATGATATATATTCTTCAATCTTTACTTATTTTTTTAGTTTTTTATAAATATAACTGATTTCAATTGCATAAAAATTTTATTTAATTTTTTAACTTTCATATATAATTCTTTGAGGCTACTAAACTAAAAATAATAAATACTATTGTATTCAATTGTCTATTTTAATCTTTTTGAAATTTCAAATTAAAAATAAAATAAAATATTGTAATTCTTTTTTAATCGTTTTTCTTATCATTTCAAGAAATTATTTTATTTATTTCAATTTATAAATAATAAATTAATTATTATTAATATATTAAAAATTTATCAGATTATTCAAAATAAAGAATAAAAGCATTAAGATAAAAAAAAAATTAGATTTGAAAACATATATATGTATAAATATAAAAATCTAAAATTTTTATTTATTCTTTTATCAATCTAACTCTATGATCTAAAAAAAGATTATATCAGATAAAGTTTCGTCAATTTACTCTATTATTTTAAAAATTAATAAACGATTTTATATGAATTTCTTTTATTTTTAAAAAAGAAAATATGTATACATTTATTAATATAATATAATATAATTGATTATACATATTTTTAACAAAATATAAAATAAAATTAATTTCTCTAGTTGGCAATTAAATAATATTAAATTATTAATGTCTATTTTATTATTCATATACATTTTTAGATTATTAAAAAAAATATATTACAATTGATTTATATTTTTATAATTTAAAAATTAACTATTTGTAATTCATAAGTAATTTAATATTATTATAAAAATTAAGAAAATATAAAAAATTAATAAATAATTATATAAAAGTAAAATAAAATAGTTGATAAAAAAATATATGATATTTACTATAACATCTTTATTAAAATAATAAGTTCATTTTAATATTAAAATTAATTTAATTTTTATTTTATATCGAAAAATTATAAAAATTATAAAATTAAAAAATATATTTATAATATATATAAAAAAAAAAAGAAATAAAATAAAAATATAAGCAAAAGATTATAAAATATTTTAAAGAAAAAAAAAAAAAAATTTATTTAAAAAAAAACAATAAATATATGTATAAAAAAAAAAAATATTAGTGAATTATTAAAAATATTTAAATTTTGAAGATAAAATATAATTATTTAAAAATATATATAAAAAATTTTAAAATAAATAAATTATGTATTTTGAAAAGTAAAGATAAATAATATTTTAAAAAATTTATAAATAAAAAAAAAAAATATATTAAGAAAAAAAAAATATATTAATTATAATTATTGATATATATATTTTATAAAATAAAAAATTTTGTTATATAATATAAAATAAAAAAAAAAAATTAAAAATATATTTAGAGATTTTAAAAAAAAAAATTTAATAAAAATAATTATTTATTATTTTATTTAATTATTTATTTATTTATTTATTTATTTATTTATTTATTTATTTATTTATTTATTTTTTTATTTATTTTTTATATTTTTATTTTTTAATTTTTCTATTATTAATATTTTTTTTTTAATTAATTCTTACAATTTTATATTTAGAAATATTTTAACTTTATTTTTATTTTATTATTTTAAATATATTTATTATTTTTTATATAATTATTTATTGTTTTAAATTACAATTTTTTTTTTATATATAAATTATAGTATTATATAAGTTTTTTATTTACATTAATTTTTTTTTTTTAAATCTACGATATTTAATACTTTAATAAAATTTGTTTTAATATTATTTCAATTAATTTTTTAAATTTATTTCATTTATTTATTTTTTTATTTTCTTTTATATTTTTTTTATTTTATAAATTTTTTTATTTTTAATTATGAAATTATTATAAACTTTAATTTTTTTATTTAATATTTTTTTTATATAAGCATCATTATTTTATATTTATTTCTATTTAATATAATATTTAAACAATTATTTTTTTTTTTTATAATTTATTTTGGTAACATATTTATATTAATTTTATTATTTTTTCATTTATTAAAAAAAAAATATAATTTATTAAA